GTACCTGGTTAAACTGTAATGTTTGGCAATAACAAACTGTTTATTTAGCAAAAAGCATTCTGACAGGTTACTTCCTAAGTTGTACCGGTTCCAAATTTATTCAGAGAGGTTGCCTACCAACAAACTAAATATTCTCTACAATCTCCGCTTTTCCTTGTGACAAAAACAACGAAAAACAATGATCTTCAGTAAATAAGATTTATTGAAAAAGTCTTGATGGAAAAGAAGACGAATAGGAGCTAATATGTCAGAATTTTGACCGTTGGTATAAGAAATTTGCGGTAGATCATTCGGTTTGTTTTCTCAGGGGATCATTCGTCACTCGACGGGGACATCACGGAATCGGGCATCCCACACGACTGCACACCGGCTCAGATAAAATTGACCCCCTGTGGGAAAGTCAGACGCCATAGGGTCTACTTTCGGAAATGACGCGTGGAGTGTGCGTGCTGTCGAATGTACTGTCTGAAAATGTAGCAAATCCACTACTCAAGTCGTTCCCGCACATATCGATACTAATAAGACGGTCGATGGCGGAAACACGCGAAATGTAAATGTGTTCGGGGCTTTTTATCGAACTTCTTCCAAGGCATGACTTTTATTATATATCACTGATGCCCGTTAATAAATCGGTCCTCGACATAAGAAGTTCCCTTCCTCCCATACACCTCACCGTCATAGTGGCACACGCTGCGAATACGTAGCGAAAGGTACGATCTGGGTTCATTCAAATACAGTGCCCGCGTATTTGTTGCCCAGTTTCCCACATTTTCCGTGTCCGGTTAAATTATATTTATTATTTTACCCCTTACCCTTTGTTAAGGTTGACAAAGCCAAAAACATTCGTGGAGTGAGTACATCTAAAGTGGATTAGAATGCCGTATACGTCATGGTTTATCTCAATCCGTTCAAACGTCACGATTTTTTAATGTTTATTTAGGAAAAACATGTTTCTTTACATAAAACCTGAATTTTCTCCCCTCTGATGTAACTTTTCCAACTTTTGACCCTATTTTTTGATTTAGCAAAGAATTTCCTTTGCCATTAGTCCACCCTTGTTGTGCAAATTGCCAGTCTATTAACTATTTACAAAATAACTGCACAAACATCATTAAATTTTCGAAATGGTGATTTTGGATCAACTTCTTTAAACTGTAGCCGTTACATTATGTTTTTAAAAATGTCAAAATCAGCTATGAACGTTAGTATTTTATGAGCTTTCCAACAGGCTGTTCGAAACGTAGATTATCTTGTTTTTTTCAATGAGCTATTTCAGTTGGAAGCTGGGAAAACATAGTCGGGACCTATCCTCGGTATTAAATGCAGGATCCAAGAGTTGATCGGGTTTTCATTTTGAAGAACAAATGTTTATTTACTAGAACACCATCCCTAACCATCCCTAAAATTTTCCACAATGAGTTTACTTGCTTACATTACCGCAATGAATTGGCTATCACGGTTTCCTGGCATTCCATAAACATATGGAGCACGGTAAAGAGACGGGACATCGTTCGCCATATCCAACATGCGCTCTTCTTATAGAATGGGTATTCTGTTCCAAAGGATGTAATCCGATCGCTCAATGCACATAATTAATTGCTTACATTGAATTTACATGCCTGATAAACATCTTATGCTATTCATTTGATTCCTAGTATATGTCCCCGATCCTGGTACCTGGTAAAGATTTATTACCTAGTTTTGCTTTTAATAACGCGTATCACCTCTTCTGGCCTCGCAGCCGGCCTTAGGTCTCCCACTCATGGAGTAAATAAGCGATCGGATTACATCTTATGAAACAGAATACCCATTCTACAAGAAGAGTGCTTGTTGGATATGGCGAACGATGTACCTTGCCCCGTATGTTCTAAGGGATTCATATCAGGAAAATGTGATAGCCAATTCATTGCAGTAATCCCTACTACTCCAAGTAACGGGAGCTACATGCGGTCGAGCGTTATCAAGCACTGACACGAACTTGTCCCCAATAAATAATTCTAATCGGCCACAGTTTAGAGAAGGTCTTCCTTAACCTTAGTGCAGACAAACATCCATTCTGTATGATAATCAATTCGGCATGGGTTTGGCCGTTGATTCCACTCCTTGCCGAAATTGTCTATCTTTGCAAAGGCCGTGACCCACACGTGACATTTAAAGCAAAACGTTCTCCATGCCTTCTCAATACTCGGTAATTTTGTGCGTTTATTTACTAATTAATTTTTCCAGAATGTATTTGGTTACAATGAATTTACATGCCTGATAAACTCCTATGCTATGCATTTGATTCCTAGTATATGTCCCCGAAACTGGTACCTGGTAACAATTTATTACATGATTTTGCTCTTAATAACATGTATCACATCTTCTGGCCTCGCGGTCGGCCTTAGGTCTTTAAGCCGTCGAATAAATAAGCGATCGGATTACATCCTATGAAACAGAATACCCATTCTACAAGAAAAGCGCTTGTTGGATGTGGCGAACGATGTCCCGTCTTTTTACCTTGCCCCGTATGTTCTAAGGGATTCATGTCAGGAAAATGTGATAGCCAATTCATTGCAGTAATCCCTACTTCTCCAAATAACGGGAGCTACATGCGGTCGAGCGTTATCAAGCACTGACACGAACTTGTCCCCAATAAATGGTGCTAATCGGCCACAGTTTAGAGAAGGTCTTCCTTAACCTTAGTGCAAACAAACATCCATTCTGTATGATAATCAATTCGGCATGGGTTTGGCCGTTGATTCCACTCCTTACCGAAATTGTCTGTCTTTGCAAAGGCCGTGACTCACGCTTGACACTTGAAGCAAAGCATTCTCCATGCCTTCTCAATACTCGGTAATTTTGTGCGTTTATTTACTAATTAATTTTTACAGAATGTATTTGGTTACAATGAATTTATATGCCTGATTTAACTCCTATGCTATGCGTTTGATTTCTAGTGTATGTCCTCGACCCTGGTACCTGGTAACAATTTCTCACCTGGTTTTGCTCTTATATATTATATCACCTCTTCAGGCCTCGCGTCGGGCCTTAGATCTACTTGCCATCGAGTAAATAAGCGATCGGATTACATCTTATGAAACAGAATAACCATTCTACAAGATGAGCGCTTGTTGGAATTGGCGAATGATGTCCCGGCTCTTTATCGTACCCAATTTGGTCTATGGCATTCATGTCAGAAGAACCTGCAAGCCAATTCATTGCAGTAAACCCTACATCCTCCAAGTAAGGGGAGCTACATGCATTCGAGCGTTATCAAGTTGAAACGAAGTTGACCCCATTGAATGGAGCTAATGGACCACAGTTTCGAGATCTTCCTTATCTTAGTGCAGTTAATTTTGTATGATAAACGGTTAGGCATTCCACTCCATGCCAAACTGTCTTTGCACTGTCGTAGGGCTGTGATTCAGCAAAGCGTTCTCCATTCCTTCTCAGTACACGGTCCCGGTCTTCATTGCCACAAACCAAACCGGCACTTGTCTGTGTAGAGAACTATTGTTCAAGTGTCCAAATGAAATGCTGATTTGCGAATAGTCGCCTTTCTATTCGATTCTTCTCCAGTAGTAGAATACCTGGTTATGAGTATTGTTTGATTAACAGTATTAATATCTTCAATTAAAGCTTTTCGAACAATATTAAAAATGGATAAATTAGTTGCCCTCCTAAGTGCGATATCCATAAAATATTCATCTTGTACATATGGTCACTGTTGCTACTATTTGAAAATCGTGTCTTTTCCCTTGATGTTGGGTTGAAAAAAGGAAATATTAACCTGCGGAGAGGTTTTCAAAATTTCACGAAGCTTGGTCCTTTAATCATCGATCCTTTTATCAGCCCTGGTTCCCTCGAGTGGATCGTATGGCTTTTATTCTATCAAATGGTTCGGGGAAATGAAATTTGCAGTCTACAACCCTCCTGTACCGTTAAAAAAATTCTTCGTTGTTACTTTTTTTTATCGTCGACAAACCTTGATAAGAACATTTCTCAGCGATCTGGTGGTTTTACGGTCCAAAGAAACTTTTTATCATATAAACTTCATTAAATATTAGTTAAGTGTTTATTGACAAGTCGTTTATTTCCATTAGTAAGGTTGCTTCAGGTTAAACGAAAACTACAGGAAATAAAATGCAGAGATTCAAATTGACACGATGTTCGCTCAGCGGGGAAAGGTGAAATTCGAATGTGTCGTTATGTAAAGCTTCATGGGTCGTCTGAAGTGATTATCCCACTGTGAATTTCTTCTATAGCCTCACATGCTGTCTTCTCTTTATAAGTTCCGAAAGATAATTAAACTTTCTCCTTGAAATGTAAGAGTTGTATCGAAACGAAAATGTCTGGGCAACCATATTTGTTTACCCATTCGCGTCGGGTGTTGCGGAAGTGAACGGATTAGTTCAATTCAGGTTCTATTATTCGTATATCAACCAGACAAAAAGGAAACTCGTTTTTTGTGAGGTAACTTGATTCCTGATATTTGCATAAGTTTCGAAATACGCTTTGATAAATAAAGTAGTTTTATTTATAAGAATGTAGTATGTTTTAGACTACTAAGGGCCATTATTAAGTTTAGCTATTTCCTTTTATTGAAGTTCATGGATGAGCCTGTAGTTACTATGGATGAGAATTCTGACGAGTAAGTCCGAAATCCTTGTCAGAACAAGGCGGTTACATTGTGCGCGTTTTCTGATAGTCACTACGTCTCTGTCTCCCAGCAAATTGGACGAACTTAATAAGTTTTATTTTCTTGAAAGTCCATCAGTTAAGCTGTTGTTGATACGTGGTGGGAAAACAAAGCATGTTAAACATTTATTTTCCACAAGGGGCGAGAAGGATGAGTTTCAAACTTATTACAAGTCCCTTAAAAAAATGCGTATTAATTCATATATGTTTAGCGGTCATAATTTACCATATTAATTATAATGAAATTTGAAAAATGGCAAAAAGATGGAACATCCGAACGATTGTGGGTTGCGATGGGGGGAGTGTCTGAGGGGATTGAAGTCACGATAGCTTAAGTGGTTAGAGCACCGGCGTAATGAGCCCGAAGTCGTGGGTTCGAATCCCGCTCGTGACAATAATTTTTCGCCTCAACCAAAAACCTTAGATAAAAAGAATTATCCATTAGAATAATTAATATTGCCAATTATGACAACTAACCAAATATGGCTTATTGTTAGTGTTGATTTCTTAAGAAACTTTCTCCCATTTTGGCGGAGAAATATCTCTGTTGTGATATTTTTTGTCGTTCATGTCCCGTAAAACACCGATTCTTAAAAACAAGACTAATCAGTTAATCTATATCCATGGTGATATTATCTATATCCAAAACTGGGTAAAATTGAACGCTCACATTGTTCTGACGACATCGTGCGTGTTCTGACCTGCACTTCGCTGCCAAAGTAAACACTCTTAGGACAAACAAGTATCTGACAAACACGCTAGAACTCGTCAGAACAAAATTTCGTTATCCATACTAACCGTAGTCTAAGGCAGCCCTATGCCATCCTGACGTACCTAAACTCGCCGGAATGGCCTTTCCTAACGAACGATTGTTATTCTGCGATTCTGATTCATAACATCATTTTTTCCATACTCTCTTGATCGCTTTTTCTGGGTTGGTTTTTTTCACCTCGAAAGGCAGTCGATCCCAATTCCTCATTCTATCAGAAAAGAAGGTGGTACTTGGAACTTGATAGTAGACCATTTCCAAGTTCACGTGTAATCCCGGTCATGTATGGATCCAAAGCGGAAATTACATTTCACCTGTCAAACAATTTATCAATAGTTGCGTTAAATTATTAGACGCACAATTTTGTCTCCACAGTGCGACAGGTCCCATTTGTTTCTCGACAATAAAGTACGTCAATAATCCATTCGGTTCGCGGATCATTGCACTAATTTGGGCTCTTAAGATCTCGCTTTGACTTTAACAAGGGGACGCCTTGATTGATGGTGTGCCAAAATGGAAATTAACGAGGAAATCCTGTCCGTCTTGGGACGAAGTTGGATGCACAAAACATAATAAAATTTGTGAAATTACCCAGGGGGAATCAGCGAGTCGTGGAAGCCGGGATCTAATCGATCATCCACGGTCCGTCCGTATGCCGTCTCCGTTCATCCCAATGTAGTTTCTATCGGCTCTTTTCAACGTGTTCTGTGATCCTCTTAACCGTTAATCGGCAATCAGATCGACGCCCAACACGGCGAAACGTTTCGACCGCGGTTTCGAACGGGGATGCACAAATCGTGCGAAAGGGGCGGAATTGTATCCGGCCGAAAACACAAAGAGCCGAAGCGTACGGGATTTCACGCTTCGCTCGCCCGAAAATACAAAATTAACCCCGGAACGTAATCCGACAGGCGGCATTATATTTCAACTGATTTAAAATTATATAGCGATAGAACCGCTCGCATTTTATTTAATCAACCTTCATTCTCGAGATTCTCTACTTCCGGGGTGGTGATTAATGGAATGGCGGAAAACTTCGCCCATTCCACTCGATCGCTCTAGGATTGCTTTTCAAGTTGAACAACTGAAGCTGGGTCTCATGTTTACCGTTTTGTCGGTCCTGGTTCACGGGAGTTCTTCAAAGCAATCACTGTTAGAACGTGTCTGCACGAACTGTTATTGCCAGCGACCAGTTTGGCCCAGATCGACTTCTTGGGACCCGATCACCTTGCGACTGGTGTTACGGTATTACATAAGAGTCCGTGTTTTCTACTACGGCCAATCTCTACAAAATATTTCTTTTAATTTATAATCGCGGTATCTTCTTCAAATAAATCTTGATTATTATAAGCCAACAAGTCAAAAATCTAAAACACGTTTTCCTTACATTGTCCATGGCAAAAACCGCTTTTTCCTAAATTGTCCTCCTAACATTCCACCAATTTTAGGCCATTTTCTCCTATAGTAATCAGACTTCGCGTGTTCTTTCGCCTCGTTCACGCGAGAGTTTAAAACGTCGAAGAAATACAGAAATATTTTGATTCTTTCACAACCAGACAGGTAACTTCAAGTTCCGCTTTTTCACCCATTCGCCATTAATCCGTAAGTTTTTTTTGACGGTTTACACGCCAGAATTTTGCTATGTTGAGCCGGAAGCGCGTCTGATTCTTGTACTTCCCTGGATGTACCCTCTAATCATTGCCATTGGAGTTTTAAAACTACACTCAGAGGCAAAAAAAAGTGTCATTATTTTTATTAAATAAGTGCAAGGGTTATAATTTTTATTTTTTGTGCGGTGATTAGTGACCATTAGTCTATGATTATTCGGAAATCGTGAGATGCGGTCTGGTGTGACGTAGGTTTCATAAAAACACTTTATTTATCGTGCCAACGTTTCGATCTGTATTGAGATCATCTTCAGGGCCTGGGATTTACAAACATCCTACATGTCTTTGTTAAATTTAAACAATGTTGTAAATCTCAGGCCCTGAAGACGATCTCAATCTACGGTCTAGTGTGACGTAGCATACCGCATCTCACGATTTACGAATAATTTATTTTTTATTGGTTACCGTATTTTTTTTGGATGGATGCATATTATAGGGAAGGAGACGATTATTTATGCGTATGCGTATTGGGGGGAGGGTATCGTGAAAAAAGCCAGAGGCGACGGTGGGAATCGAACTAACGACCGTATTCGAGCCGAGAGTCTCACACGCAAACCACCCGGCTACCGCGGTCCCCTAATTGTTTAACGTACATTTTAAAAGAAAAATATGATATAGCTAAATAAAAAATTAAACTGAGTGAAACAATTTTACTAAATTTTCCTATAGCATGTAACTTTGAAGAAAAATCAACAAAGAAGAGATTGACTAGTCCAAGATTTATTTACAAAATCCAGTTGTAAAAAATGGGAGACTGTTTAATTTACCCCTAATCATTTAAATCGGACCAAATATTGTTGTACGATAATCAATGGATGATTGTCTAAGATATAATTATACGGGTATACAATTATAATTATAATTTATTATAATAACTATAATTATTAGCTTATAATATGGGGTAACAATTATATTATATTATTATTAAAGGGGGCCACTTCTTTACCTCGCAGGGTATTAACGGGTTTCAGTTTATGATAAGGTTACTATTTTCTTCAAAACGTTTATTTTTTTATTATTATTATTTTTTTTATTGGATTTTCTATACTCACTCCTTATTACAGACTTGTATAAATGATGTAAGAGTATAATATATAAAATATTTTAATGTGGTCAATTTTTTGTGGAACAGAGCATATATATTTAGTAATACAATTTATTTATTACATTATTATTATTTTTGTACTTATTTTTTTATGAGGGTTAGCAACAGCAGAGGTCGTATAAACCCTCAGGGTGCCGGTGTTTTTGTAAAAAGCCCATTTGTAAGTATGTTGGGATCGAATGCAGGGCAGCTGGGTTCGAACCCGGGACCTTCACCTTACAGTGATGAGCTCCGCGTCAATGCCTAAACCACGGCGCCCCCTTTATTAACTTGTCAAATACTACCATCTAACAGCTTTATACTCAATAATAAATATGATAACAAAAATAAATACATTTAGCTCCACTCATTAGTTAACTATGTCCAAGTCGTAATGGGGAGCGTCTTACTATAAGAGCCATCCGAAAATGTTGGTGCCCCAGGTCTCTGTCTTGTCACCATAAAATAACTGCTTAACAAAAACACCTACTGATAGTTTATACATTCCCCCCCAAAATGAAAATACGTATCTTACAATATGTAAAAACAAATCAAGTATTTAAGTATACATAGGAATCTTTTGGTTGTCTCGAAAATGATAAAACAACGCGTACTTGGAAAAAAAATTGTCGTTTTGTTTCTCTTATAATCTTTACTTTTGCTACCCTCTCATTTAATATTAAATAATCAATCAATTAAAAGAATTAACAAAAATCTTACAATTAATTAAGGTTTTCAGTTGAGATAAAAAAGTCAATGGCATGAGAAGGATTCGAATGGCAAAAAAGGAGGGAATATTCAAAAGGCGTGGTTGAGATGGGAGGTTGGTGTCCGAGTGGATCGAGGTCACGATAGCTCAAGTGGTAGAGCAGCGACGTATCAAGCCGAAGATCGTGGGTTCGAATCCCGCTCGTGCCATTGACTTTTTTATCTCAACTGAAAACCTTAATTAATTGTAAGATATTAATTGGTCAAGCGGACCACGAAATTAGTGAATTTAATAAGTTTAAAATCATTTATACTTCACTAAAGCTCTCCGTGGCCATTTCATTTGTCGCCGAGAATCAAATTGATTACACGACATTTGAAAAATGGCAAAAAAGGAGGGAAAATTCAAAAGATGTGGTTGAAATGGGAGATTGATGTCCGAGTGGATCGAGGTCACGATAGCTCAATTCGTAGAGCAGCGGCATATCAAGCCGAAGATCGTGGTTCGAATCCCGCTCGTGCCATTGACTTTTTTATCTCAACAAAAAACCTTAATTAATTGTAAGATATTAATTGGTCAAGCGGACCACGAATCTAATGAATTTAGAAAGGAATTAACAAAAATGGTTGAGAAATGTGAATTTGAAGATTTCTTTCTTGGTTAAATCTATTTATTCGTTAATTTATAAATATAATATTGGCCGCAAAGTTGTAGCGATAAAACATACCACAATTTACTTTTAACCGTAGCCACCAACCTCCAAGTATATACGGTAACCAATCCTGCTTACTCGTCAATACCGTTGTTTGCTAGCTATAAGACTTCCGATTAGATTCAAAACTGACTAGGCAAACCCAGTTTTCGGAAGTTTCTAAAGAATAAATCACCCCATCCATAAGAGTTAAAACCTATTTCATCATAACACGGCCAAAATGGCTTCAATGATGTCAAATATGGAACTCGGCCTTCAACTCCCAGATAAAACGAGTGCAGACGTTCCAAAACTGGAGCAGCATGTTACACGGGGATTCTACACTATGTCAAGATATACAGGTTTTGCAAGTAGATGAACGATTACGTAATAACTATGAAAGTGTGTACTATAAGGTGAAGTTCTGCTAGAGAGTGGTTGTTCCTTCCTACTTTTTTTCCAGTCAAGAGCCTT